AACCACGGTGTGTAGGGCGCTATATAAACCGTGCTGTGTAGGGCGCTATATAAACCACGGTGTGTAGGGCGCTATATAAACCGTGCTGTGTAGGGCGCTATATAAACCGTGCTGTGTAGGGCACTATATAAACCACGGTGTGTAGGGCGCTATATAAACCGTGCTGTGTAGGGCGCTATATAAACCACGGTGTGTAGGGCGCTATATAAACCGTGCTGTGTAGGGCGCTATATAAACCACGGTGTGTAGGACGCTATATAAACCACGGTGTGTAGGGCACTATATAAACCACGGTGTGTAGGGAGCTATATGAAATGTGCCCTGCGGGATGCTACATGAACCATCCTGTATGGGCCGCTATATAAACATGTTGTGCGGGGCGAAAAAGACAGAGTAAGATAACTGTGTGTGAAGGATGTGATGAAACTGATGTGATGGAATTTGTATTGTTAATGGAGTAGCGGGAAGAAAACTAGTGGACATGGAAATCTAGCCATTTCCTGCTCAAAATGACACCTTGGACTCCTTTGTCAAAAGCTAATTCACTCTGCTGCCACATTGGCAGTTTACAGTGGGAGTCTGAAGAAGGTCATATACTGTATAGTATCGTGTAACAGGCTCCTTTTGGAACGCAAGCCATGAAGAGGGTGCCGTGTGCTCTATTGTATGACTGTCCTTGGCTGAACCTCCTTCGTGAATTTGTCATGGAAGCCAAACGCTGCATTTCCTCTGGGCTGTAAAACAAGGCCTTTTTAAAAACATCCTTATTCACTGCTCACAAGCCCTCACCAGGGCTGTCGCTGAGCTGTACGCCCGTTGTTATTGGGGTAATGTACAGGCCGGGGAACCCTGGACTGGGGACGCCTAGCTAGGACAGTGTGGCTCTCTGCTCCCCGCTGTTGTTATTGGGGTAACGTACAGGCCGGGGAACCCTGTACTGGGGACGCCTAGCTAGGACCGTGTGGCTCTCTGCTCCCCGCTGTTGTTATTTTTGCACTTATGGTCTTCCTGTTAGCTTTAACGAGCCTGGCCATTCTCCTCTGACCTCTTTCATTAGCAAGGTGTTTTTTTCCCCATTGAAATTCCCCTGACTTTGTGCTTTTCCTTCATCACAGGACCTCTGTAAACTCGAGAAACTAGTGTGCGAATCCCAGGACGGAGGCTGTTTCTGGCATGCCACAGCCACTAGGACTGGAACCAACAATTGAGCCACAATCAGTGTCACATAGATCTTAGTCATTCGAACTATGGTAACTGGACCCCTGGCCCTCTCTGTGTGCTGTGTGTGTTCTTCTTGTACCCTCGTAATTTGCTTTTTGGGGGAGCTGGCTGTTTTGTGTCGACGAGCAGGGTTACCTGAGTAATGCAGACAGTAAGGGAGTTTTTATGAAACACAAGTCAAGTTTGAAGCATGACTCAGTGGGGGTGTTTGTAATAGAAACTCTGTCCATTCCAGGTTTAATCTAATCCTGTAAGGAATTTTCCTCAGACTATTACTTACCCAAGGGAGAGCTGGAGACACAAATCTGAATATTTTTTTTCCCTCCAAAAATCAGCTCTGTGAATATTGTCCTGCTTCCCCCTGACTGTGTGGGTGCATTTGCTATTCAGCACTGCACCGTTGCCTTTTAATAATGTATAAACGTTGAAGTCTTCCTTGGGGAAGACTTGACGGGCGTCCGAGGCGCGTGAACGGTCCGTTATCCGCCCCTAGTCTTCAGTGCATCCAAATCCTGTGGGATGCTGGGAAGCGGGGTCGTGGGGGGATAATGAGAGGGTTGTTATTAACTCGGAGAGGGGCTTGTTTCCATATTCCCTTGAGGGAGGGATTTGGGAACGAGGAAGGGAAATGCCCGCTTGTGTTAGGGAGCAGCGAGCATATGCTGTTCTCACGCTCCTTAGTCCTCTTAGCATCCACTGCTTCATTTATTACCTTGATTGCTTGTTCTTTATCACCATTCTGTAAGCAGGACCCCTGGCCGTCCACATTCTTGTTCCCTCACTGCTCCGAGCACACCTGAACCAAACAATCAAAAAACAAGCCAAACAATCAAACATTAATCAAACAATAAAGAACACTGAATATCTGGTGCAGGTGAGCTGGGAGGGAGCAAGAATATAGACTGTGTTTTTCTTAAACCCCGGCAACTGGCTTAAGAAACCCTGGCCTGATGTGACATAGAGAGTGTCTAGGAGGGGGCACTGAGCCCCAAGGCCAAGCCATCATCTGGATCATGATGAGAGATGCAGGGGAAACAGCCTCAGCCTTCACAGCTGGAAATGACGGCGAACAAGCCATGTGTTTTCGTTTTATTTTGTTTTGGTTTTTTTTAGACAGGATTATGACAACTATGAAAGACATTGCAAAATGTGATTGTAACTGAATCTTTTTGTTAACTAATACATTACCAAATGTTTAGTGACAGTTTATTAATAATTTAGAATCTGAACCGTTTCCGGAGAATATGCAGCCTTAAATGGTAGCAGAAGATGTTAAGAACCAGGACGGAAAGACTGGTGTCTGGCTCATCTGAATCAAAGGCTTCAGGAGGCATTTACTATCCTGCCTGTTTGCGGCAAGAAAATTGTTCTTCTGTTTTTCAAAGTGGAGCTAGAGACACTAAAAACTGGAGTTAGTTTGTTCTGTCAGGCTGTGGTTCAGGATAAGCTGGTCTAATCTGCCTGTGTGCGTATATCTGTGTGTCTGTGCGTGTGTGTGTTCCTTGAACGATTCAGGCATCATCCGGACGGCCCTGGCCAACATGGACCGGGAGGCAAGGGAGCACTATGCTGTCGTCATCCAGGCCAAGGACATGGCGGGACAGGTTGGGGGACTGTCTGGGTCTACTACCGTCAACATCACGCTCACAGACGTCAACGACAATCCGCCCAGGTTCCCTCAAAGTACGCATTCTGCCTCAGGCGCCGCTGTCTTTAAATGCCCCACTATGTCACTAATACATTGTATTTATTCTAATGTAGGCCGTTGTTGAAATGTAAGGTGCAGTTCAAGCATTGACCTATAGTAGTGCTGCTTCAAACCTTTTACATCATTAATGTGGATGAACGTAGACGTCGTCTCTCCTCTGGGTCGTACAGCAACTACACGTTATTAGCGATTCAGAGCAGCTTCTCACCTTTGGGGTATCACCCAGGAGAGACAGAAAGTTACATAATGAGTTCCCCTCCAGCCCCACATGTAATTTAAAGTTTTGTTTATTGCAGAACTCCGGAATACAAATACGGTGTTTGAGGGAGCACCAGTGGTCAAATATGTATCCCCGCATCAAAGATCTGTGCAAACACCAGTTTGCTCATTCCTCGTTGCCGCTAATGGATTTTTCCCAAAAGGGTAGATGGATGCATCACACATGCTCCAGTGCATATTTTCATTACCTGGTGATCTCCAAATTAAATTTGTCTTCGGGTTCCCCCGCCAGAAAACTACCAGCTGTACGTGCCTGAATCGGCCCAGGTGGGGAGGCCCGTGGGGAAGATCAAAGCCAGCGACGAGGACCTGGGCATCAACGCGGAGATCAAGTACAGCATCATCAATGCAGACGGGGCCTCCGTCTTCTCCGTCTCCACAGACAGAGACACTCGAGAGGGCATCATCTCGCTGAAGAAGGTGCTTCACTTTCCATCATTCCTTTTCCCTAAAAGCCATTTAAATGAATGGCAGTAGGTCCTGTAACTTCAGTTTGATGTCACGGGATCAGACTTTTAACCACCATGCCACCTATCGTCTACTACCATGCACTGCACCTGTGATCGAATTTACCACACAAACCTAGACTCTCTGTTTCCCCAGACTGTAAACATTTTTTGTCTTGATATATTTTTTAGAAAAAGAAATAGATCATTATCATTTAATAGATCTCGTGGGAACTTGGGATGAGCGTCTGAGCTCCATTGAAAAAAAGCCAATATGAGTTTGGAAGTGTGTGACGTTGAGCGAGCAGCTTGCACTACTGTCAAACCAGTTAGAAGCTTTTTTTCTTTTTCTGCCAGCATCCTGGGCATGGGCTGAATGCCATCACAGAGATTTTGGGTGTGCCTCCCTGGGCCAGGTGCCTTTGCGAGGGAGAAGCACAGGGAGCCAGCTGTTTTTGCCAGGCGAATCATTTACTATAAAACAATATGGCTGCCTTACAGTTCTCAAAACTCACACCATGCTAACGGCTAGCAACCGCTAATAGACACAACAGTAGGGTGGGGTGAAAAAATCAAAATTTCCAATAGCAATTTCCAATAGTGCGGAAAAGTTGTCACTGGACCTCGCTATTAAACGTGCAAAATATCTTTGAAATAGGTTAATATTTCGATCGAAGTTTTCACCTGTCACAACAATGCGCAGATCCACGTTACATATCATCCATATCATAACGCAATGTAAAATTGTCTCAATTTAATACAAGAGCCTAACAATCAGTCAGTGACAATGAGTAAGTGGGAAACGACTCATTAAAAACATCCTCAGGAGCATGCTTACACTGACATACTGGTAATATACGTAAACTATCCATTATCTAAGCCACTTCATCCATCTGGGTCTTACCAGAAATATTAGGCCACCGCTCCAAATCATTGAATTCAGGAGTCCCAATATTTTTGGTCATATAGTGTATCTAA